AGAAGCAATATGGTGTGATGGAAAGCTTTTCGGAAAGACAGGTTTGAATTCAAACTGCAACTCTTTTTGCAAATAATGCAACACAGGACAAGTTACTTGATGTTTCTGAACTTCAGTTTATCCTTTTATAAAAACAAGTTACTTCATGTTTCTGAACTTCAGTTTATCCTTTTATAAAAACAATATCTAGTTAAAAATAACTACAAAGTGCCAGTTACATTGTATGTAAGCAACTGGCATCTATTGCTATTAGTCTTTCTGCTCCTAATACATACCAAAAAAGAAAAAAGAAAAAAAATCAGTGGAAAGGGGTTAGAGTCCTTTTAAAAATACTTGGAAGGCTAGGTTTGTAGCTCAGTGAGCACTTGCCTCATGTGCGTGAGGCACTGGGTTCAATACTCAGCACCACATTAAAAAATAAATAAATAAAATAAAGATACTGTGTCCATCTACAACTAAAAAAAATTWWAAAAAAACACTTTGAAAGTCAGACATAGTGGCTCACATCTATAATCCCAGCGATTTGGTAGGCTGAGGCAGGAAGATCTCAAGTTCATGGCCACCTAGGCAACTTAGTGAGACTCTGTCTCAAAATAAGAAACAAAAAGGACTGGGGATATATCTCAATGGAAAAGCACCCCTGGGTTCAATCCCCAGTAGCAAATAAATAAATAAAAACACTTTGAAACAAAGATCCATAGTTCTTTGTCTGAAACCTTTGAGGCCAGATGTATTTCAGAATTATTTTCAACTTAAGTACTGCAATGTAACACATATTCCATAGCATCATATGACCTATGCCAACAGCTTATATTCAAATATGTTATTACAACCTCACATCAATTCAGTTCAAATTTTTGCTGCCCTATTAACCAAGGTCAAAACATATTTTGCCACCGAGTTAAACACTTCTGGGCAACTAGYACTGTGCTAAGTGCTTTGCATTGGTAAATATTTTGTTGAAAAGTTTAACATCACTCTATTGCAAAGTCTTTAGATTTAACTTCTAGTTCATAAGAAATGCACAGTAGCAAAAAACAAGTTAAACAACAATGATGAAACACTAAGACAAATACAGAATGTGGGGCATTTTCCAAAACAACTGGCCTGATATTTCCAAACAGTTAATGTCATGGAGAAAAAAAATGGAACATTTTTAGACTAAAAAGTGGAATWTTTTATGATGACACTAAAAGTGCCATCATAAAATGAACTTCATATGGGAGGGTAGGGGAGGGAAGGGGGAATAGGAAGGACARCAGAATAAAATAGACATAGTATTGCTGTATGTATATACGTGACTGTATGATCAATGTGATTCTGCAACCTATATACTCAGAATAATGAGAAATTATACCCCATTTGATTCAAAGGTAGGATATGTCAAGATCATTGTACTGTCATG